AAAACAATTATCAAAAAATATAAATATTGCTTCAAACAGCTAGGTTAGGAAAAATATGTGCCACGGCACTGTTTGGTGACATCGTCACAATTTGCTCTCGGATGTTATTTGTCCTTGGATTCTTTAGTCATTGAAATAATATTATAATAATACATAATCTGTTTTTTATCTGAAAAAATAAAAAAGTTATAGGGGTTGAGCCACTTTTGAAAAACACTAGGTATATTTCAATATCTTTCTGTATTCGGATATGCGATTTTCCTAGCAAAACCTATGCCTTGGATGAAAGGAAAATAAGAGATGAGAATTGTTTAGAAATAAATGAGATATTGATGAATTGAAAAGATTTTGTTGAAATAAATGAAGTCAGTGGCGTATCATTTGTAAAAAATTAGACGATGCGTCCCATCAATAAAAATTCAACAAATTTGCAAGTAGCCAATGAAATGGGTGGGCGGAGTGTTTTGCGATGACATACTTGTCAAATCCACGTGGACTCTCTGCCGCTTTTATATAGGTAGCGGTTTATAAAATATTATGGCTGTTTATTTATTTGTTTTTTGTCCGCATTCTTTTGATAGACACACATCCAGTAGACGTACTTTATATGGTATGACATTGTAGTACTTTCAGTATTTAAATTTCATGACAATTATTTCATTACGAGATAAATGTCCACCATTTCATTTAAACTAAAAAAACATTGCTGTTAAAATTAGCCTGAGCTACCCTGTATGTCATCAAAAACAATTTAAATATTTTACCATTGCCTGCCATATTTCATAAAAAAGATTTTAAGTGAAAATCTCAAATCAGTTCTAAGAGAGTATTTTTGGAATACTGGACCACCCTGTTAAAAAGGGATTAACTATGACAAATTCGCCACATACTTTACTACTTAAATTATGGCTTTTGAGAAAAATAGCATATGCATAAAACCAAACCAAAACAGAGTACAGAGTAATATATTAATAATTTAAATAAAGCTTAAGTTAAACAAAATTTTTAACTTATTTAATGACTCTAATTATTAATTAAATTTAATATTTATTATTGTTTTCTAAAATTAAGCTAAAATCTTTTTTCCCCGTGATTCGTCTCAGATTTCAAAATTTTTGTTTAGTCATAATAAAGAATGTTTTAAAATAGAACGAGTGTTGCGAGAATCTGAGATTTGTATTTTTGAAATAGCGTTTTTGCCGTAAAGATATGCAACCAAGCAACTGGTGATATATAAATATCAAATACTATTATTTTTGTGTTTATATCTTGGTAATAGGTGCACAAATACGAAGTTTTAGCTAATTTTCATCTCTTTCAATGATATTTTGTATAAACATACCTGTCTGTTAGTCCAGTGTTTCCTGTTATTCATATTTTGTTTTAGTCGAAACAACATTATGTAAGCTATTGTCGATATAATCACATGACCGCATATTAACACAACACATTTTTGTTTCCTCTTTTATTGTAAAATATAACCATATTTATCTACATTTGAGCTATTTGGTAATACTACTACTATCTTAATTATCAGGATTAAAAAATGAAATAGAAACAGTTACAAATAAAATATGACAGCATCTAACTAGACCAATTTAGTAATAATCGAAGGCCGCTGTTTGAAGAGATCTATATGGATCTATCCATGGCAATCATGATTTTATTTTAAAAGTTAGTTAAAAGTTAGTTGAAAGAATCTGCTGCGGAAAAGAAATTTGAAAAAATAGTATTAAAATTATAAAATTATCTTATATTAAACAATTTCTCTGGTAAGTTTTTAGAATAATATCATATCTTATTATTTTAAATTGTTGCAGCGGTTACAGATTTGATAATAAGTAATAAAAAATAAGTTTTAATTTCAAATTTAAAACTTTGTTAATAAAATGATTTACTAATAAGTTAAAAAATCATCAAATTCTCTAAATTTACTTAGAAAATATCTATTTGTATACTTTTCAATAACATGGGAGATTCTATTTCTGTAGTCACCGATTCCACACCGAATGTCGCTATTATTTAGGTCACTTTATTTTCGAGAAATAAGTTGAAAATTAATGAGTAAACATGCGTAACTATAAATATCATTTTGTATTAAAATTTAGCAAGAAAATTATGCTGGAGTTGATATTTTGTCATATTCTTATTTAACTGCTACCTATCGAGATTTGAAATTTGAAGGAAATACTAGATTATGTATCAATGGATTTACTTTTAAAAATAATATGAGTCCAGAAATTTAGCTATTTAAGGCATCTTTTTTATAGTCTAAAACTACATTTAAGTATATTTTGACGTTATAAATGTTAAATACGATGGATTTAACAATTATTTAATATATAAAACAGGTATTTTTTCATTATTAACAAATACGTAACAGCGCTTTCAGATGAAGCGGAGCGTCCGCGTGTTTTTTCAAGATAGCCGTCGCACGTCGGACGAAATCATCCAGACGGAGCATACGCGACCCATGTGAAATTGTCCATAAAATAAACTCATGGTACTTGCTCGAAGTCGCGGACAATCCGCTCCATCTGAAAGCGCTGTAACATGTAAAACATAAACCTTAAAACAAAAATTCAGCTTTTATCATTCCATTTACAAAAAAGTGGACTTTTTTAATCTATCTTCAGCTTTATTATAATGCCGCGACCGCACATGCGGCATTTGGCGATTTCTGAGCACTCGTCAACAGGGCTTCGCCGAAATCGCCGATCAGTGTGGACGGGGAAGTTGGAGTCCATGTTTGTCTATGGACTCTATAAGTTGTCGATGGTTGGAGTTCGGCGATTCGCCTTTATATTTGCTGTCCTCCATTCGCGAATTTCAAGTTCCAGAGCTTTACGCCCTGGGCTACTCAGAACGGTTCTGAAAGGAGCTGTGCGCGATAGTCTGGTGCCTCCATATGGCGCGGAACAGTTCTGAACTTTATGACTCAATTGAATGGAGCGAGAGTATCGTGTTCTTGAACAGTTCAGAGCTGCACAACTGCGTGAATGGATGACAGTAATTGTTGATGGGCCCTTTCGATCAGAGCTCGGCGATGCTCGCATGTGTGTAGTTGCGCTTGGAAAGGCTGCATGTGCGGTCGCGGCATAATAGGCAATAGTATTTTTATCGCTGATAAGCTCTTTATGCTTTATGTCGACGGGTTTCTAGATTGTTAGTGTAATAATAACATCTATACCCCCAAGACTTTTACCGATCGATTTCTTAAAATTACAAGTGTTCCTCCATTCGCGAACCTTCAAGTTCCAGTGCTTTACGCCCTGGGCTACTCGAGAACGGTTCTGAAAGGAGCTGTGCCCTCGTGCCTTCATATGGCGCGGAACAGTTCTGAACTTTATGACTTAATTGAATGGAGTGAGAGTTTTGCATTCTTGAACAGTTCAGAGCTGCACAACTGCGTAAATGGAGGACAGCAAATGATGTATCACACTTATCTAAAAAATTGTTACTTGTTTTTTTTTTGCTGAGAGATAATCGGAGTGATATCCGTATATCCATATCTCTCTAACACATTGCCTCTTATAGAAATATTCTTTATTATACAATTTTTGGTCAAATTGTACTACATACATCATATTGCTTCATAAAATTTCAAAAAAAGAAATATAAAATTAAGGTCTGTATTATAATCTTGGGTAGTTGTTTTCTTTTTAATTTAACAATTAAAAATGGACATCATTGTATAGCTATAATGTAGAAAATGTTTGCCAAAATACGTTTTTTTTCGAAATATTTAAAACTAAAAACAGTATCTATCAAATACAAAATTAGTAAATATAGGTATTGTCAAATTAAAATAAATATCAGAGCTTCTATTTTCTGATGCAGAAAATTTGTTTTTGATATAATTTATATATCTGAGATTTAAATGGATCATTGCCCAAAAATTATCCTTAAAATAGATCTAAGTGAATTTATTTTTCTTATAATACCACTGTGATCTGTTTTGGCACATTCATTTATATTTTATACAGTGAGTCTTAAATAAGTGCAAATATATTTAGGGGTGGTATATTTTGGCCCCAGAAAGAAGTGTAAGACGTTTTTTCCTGAATATTTTGTAAAAATTTTAAATTTTTACCTATCTTGATACGATGGCAATGGATTAAATTTAGAGTAACGAAAAAAACAGAAAAAATCCAGTGATTCTCAAAATTTAAGAATTTTTTTTAAATCTTTAAAGTAAAATAACTCTTAGATCTAATATAGATAACTTTAGACCTATTTGAAAAACAACCACAAGAAAATATATTTCTTTTGTGTAGGTATACCCTGAACTATATCTGCACTCAAATCACTTATTTAAGACTGTATATACTAAGTACAATATAGTATATGTATTTATAAAAAATATATGTAAATCTGCGGTTGTTATGACGAAAATTTCTTTACAGACTTATCTACACTTTTTAAACTGCTTGACCATCCTCCGTGTTTACCAGATTTAGCTCCCAGCGCCTTTTTTATACTTCGTTGTGCTACCTTGTTAAAAATCAATACAAATGTTTTTGGTTTATAATAGATGTATTTTTTTTTTGCTTCTTACGATGGGAAAAGTTATACCTGCTGAAACGTTAAGCATTTATTGTCGGTTAATCAAATTTATTTTACTAGTAAATACCCACCGACAAGCTGGTTTCCCTTTAGGTTCAACACGGTAGTGTATAGAAAAAATAACTTTTTTTATTTTATAGAATTTTTCTTTTCCAGCGACCAAAATCCCAAATTTGTTCAGTAAATAAACCCTCCACAAAGGTATAGACATAATTTAGTTATTAATATTGTTATTACCTAATATTATTTGTTTTATTTTCCGTAACAGCCACTTACCAATTAATTTTTATTAAGTTGGTTTAGTATATTTTTGCTTCTAGAATACCTCAGATATGTACAAACACTATATTTTATAATCCAACACCCCAGAAGGACAAAAAGTTATTTACAGGAAAAAGGAGAATAGGACAGTGCAAATTAACTACCAAAAGATTATCTTGCAAAAAGCTTTAATATAGACAATAAATATATGAATATAATTAAAACATAACCTTAAAAGTACATTCATCAGCTTAAAACAATACACTTAAAATTCTAAATATCGTACATAAAAAAAGCGTCAATGACCAGAATAGAATACACTAATTAAAATAATAAATACGGGTGATATCTCCGAGATTCTTATTAACTTAATAATTTTATAAAAAGAAAAAAAATTAAGCAGTCAACAAAAAAAATTTAGTAACATTTTGTTGATAAAGAAGAAAAATTGGCTTAATACTAATTGAGAAAGCTTAAAACATTTTTATTTATCTGAGAACACATTGTATTAAGGCACTTATCTACAGTACGGTTTTATTTATATAGGCTAATTTAACGTAAATAACACTAAAAAAATATATTGAATTTAATTTTCTCTTATTAATGTATTGTTTGTTTTTTCTTTTTAGTCATCTAGTATTGGAAAAACAATTAATATGAATTTTAATCAAAACCGGTGTTTATTAATGATATAGTTTTTTCAAAGTGCTAAATGCACGTCTTTTATTTTGTTAAAATAAAGATATTGTTTTCTTCAATCACTAAATGGTTGTGATTTATATCGCTAAATGCTTATGAAAAATAGTAAAGAGAAAATATGTTTTTTTGTCGAGATTTGCCAGCCCTGAAAATATGTGCACTTATTTAAAACACACCCTGTATAATATTTATTTGGTTCTGTCATAATTAATAATAATGCTTCATTTAGAATCTCAAAACTAGTGGAATAAATTAGCGGCTTCAATTAGCGTAGAAGTTTGTTCGTCTAATTTCAATACAAACATTTAAACCGTCAAAATTAGTGGCATTAATTTTCAATTAGTACAAAAAGTTAACAAATGTTTAACTTCTTCCGCTAATAATACTTCAAAATTTGCTAGTAATGACATTTTAGCTGTTGATTATTATCCGTCAATAGAAATTGTGGTTAGAAAAAAATGTTGATTAGACAGTAAGCTAATTATTAGACAGTAATTAATTATCTATGGATACAACCGATTACCGCAAGCTGTTCTGAATGAAGCTTATCTCAGTATTGAAAAATCATATACGTCAAAATTTAATTTGACAACACCACAGTTGTTTAGACAGTACAGGTCAAAATTAACATTTTTCCTGAAAAAAACATGACAAAACAAAATTTACCTTCTCTCTTATATATGATATATAAGAGAGTCTTTATTCAGTAAATATTATTATTAAAATTCTACATGGACTTTTTAAAAAAATAACTCCGGATTCCTTAAAAAATAACTACTTAAAAATCAGTTACCTATTTTTATACTTAGGTATTTTATATATTCTGTGAAAACGCAAAATCAGCCTATAATACCGGTATAACCATTATAATTATAAGGCACAAAAAATGTGTTTTACCTGTCTATACTTCCACCAATAAAATCGTACTGTAATTTGGATATAAAATATTGAAATTCAGACTCCACAAAGCTAAACTGTGGCAGTGATTCGTTTATCAAAATATAGTCGTATTTTTCAAGTCGATACAGAGATTGGTTATTACTTTATACAATATTGATTAAGTACGTATTAGGCCCAGCACCATTGTCTATTTTAAGTACTGTGATCTTCTCTCACCTGGTACTTGAAGAGTAGCCGTCGTGTTGGCAGTGCCTACAGTGTTCGAAGCTGTGCAACTGTAAGTACCAGCATCCTCTGAAAAAAATATATAAAAATTGTATATAAATAAATCATACCCAAATCATTTATTAATTAAATAACTGTTTTGCAGAGATAATTTTAAATCCAGAAGCTGTATCGGCTATTCTTGCTTTAAATGAAGATGGTAAAGACCTATGTCTGGACTTCTAGTACGAGATCCAGCAATGTTGAGAAAACAAGTATTTTAAGAAAGCTGGCTCTTTGATTTATCTTTTACTATGCTCTCTGGAATAGCGTGCGGGCTGTCTGGCCCATTGCATTGCACATCGGAAGATCATTTTTTTTTTTATTTAGTCCATTTATGACATGTATCGACTATTTCCATTCTAAATATCTTGAGAACGGTTGCCCGTAGCGATTCTTACCAAGAGACATTTTTTTACGTAAAAAGTCACGGAAATGTATATGTTTTCACTCATTAATTTTATACAGGTAAGGACGAAAAGTTATTACTCATCAAAACAGTTAAAACACATGTAGACATATTGACATCAAAATCGAATTTCTCGTATCAAAAAACTCCCAGTCACCAATTTTCATACAAATATTGACGTTACTTCAGAAATTATTTGGAAAAAATCGAAATAAAAATGAAATTTCTACACCCTGTTTACCGAAACTAAGCATTTTAAGACATACATTTATACGAACTTTTTTACTTATTTTTATCTGCAGAATATGCTGTCGAAGTTTCCGGAATACAGTTCGGACCATCCTGTATAATGTTTATTTGTTCTGTATCAATATAATTTATAATAACTGAGAAGTGAAATATTGTAGGTCAGTTTTAGGTATTAATTAGTTATAAATCAATAATTTCACACCACAGTTGCAAGTATTTGTATACCTATTAAAGCTTTGCATATTAAATTTTTGCTTTGTTTATTCCATCTTAAGTATTTTTTTTGTAAAAGAAAAAATACCCCTATATTATTGGAAATAAGTGACAAAAATAATTGTAATCAAAATAATAGTTTAAAAATACCATCTCTCTTACAAAAACAAATCTTATCAAATTCATTTTGAAACACGTTCTATAAATTTCGAAATTTATATTTAGATTCTACAATATTTCAATTCAATTTAATTTATTTTGTTTGCCAAAATTTTGATCCAAAAATAGAGCTGGAAAATTGAAAACAAATACTTTTCTGCATTACAGTACCTGGATAAGCTTGCGCTATAGTCAGTCGACATACTCCGTTCCTATAATGGATCTGATAGTCGTTGGAGTTGGCTATTATCCTTCCATTCTTTGACCATAGGATATTCGGAGCTGGTTCCGACTGAACGATGCATTCGAATTTGGCTGTTTGGCCACTAACAACGGCTATGTCTCTTAATGGCTGCAATAATTATTAAAATGTTTAATATTACTTCTATAGTATCAAGAAAATTATGCATTACCGTAATAAATAAGGGAGCTCTCGGCTGTCCAGGCTGTATGATTAGCTTAGTACTGCCGGGAGTACTGGGACAACTTGGAGGCGTCTGAGCTCTCATTCCAGCATCTAAATAATTGAAAAAAAATAGTGCTTTATTTCTATGCAGATTAAGTATTAGATATCCAGAAACATAGAATTTCATTTTTGCAATATATTTTCAAGATCCATGCAAGCACAAAAAGTAAACGCAGCAAAAAAACAAATCAAAGCATTTTTTCAAATCGTTTAGAAGTATATTGAAAAGACGAAGTGAAATACCTCACTATAAAATATTAATGCGCAATCACCCATTTAGTCCATATACGGTGGTCCAATGAGAGAGAGATCCAGAGAGATCCTTTACTCTGCTGTTACTCGAGAACAGTTAATGATAGAGCTTTGAAAAATACGTATAGGTACATCGGTCAAAGAAAATTATCTTGTAAGATCGAAAGTAAAAGCAACACATATTCAAAAATAATAATTTTGTCTTAAATTTCACTAATATGAGCATTTTGAAAATAGAAGTATCGTATTCCTCAAAAAAGTACATGGGCACTTTTTTGTCACTATTTTTGTCAAAAATAAAGTGGCCGGGGAAGGTTAAGCATTCTTACTTTCAAATGTTAATGTCTCTTTTGAGATGAACCAATTTTAATCCACTTGGTGTTGAAAAGGTGTTTTTTGCCTTACTTATTGTAAAGCCATAAATTGTAATGTTATAACTTTGTTAACGGTCGCTACATGTTGTTTCCAAAATTTCCAAAGAATGTTCAAATTTCCTCCAAAAAAATCAAATGTAATGATATTCTACGGAATTTTCCACATTGCAATATTCACTTTTCTTGCTTATTTACCTATAAATATCCTTTTCCAGAAGTTCCGTCATTAACAGTTCGGGAACAACAGCCGACGTGGTCTACCCTTGGGCCACTCTGTACAAAGTTTTAATTAGACCCTATAAATTTCCAATGGAAACTGAGGCCTGAGGTAATAACACCCATTCTCTTTATATTAAAGCATATGTATATTGAAAGAAAGTTAGTGGAAACCATTGAATAGAAAGACTAAACAAGGAAACTGTCCCATTGTTTTTCGTGTTTTTATATATTTTCACTATAATATATCCTGATGATATATCTTTCCAGATTTATACGCTTCGCATAAAATCAAGAAAATTATAAAATAAAGAAAATCAAGAAATGATACAAAGTAAACACAGAAAAGCGTGATATACTCAAAAAACAAATATTAATATACTCAACAAAAAAAACAAAGTTTTATTAATTTAAAAAATCTGACAAAAGCTGCTTCAAAAACTTGTATTCACAATTTTGGTTTATAATAGGTTTGTTCCAACATAGCAGAGAATCGTTCTTGGTACGGTTACGCTTATGCGCAGTAGAGAAAATGCGTTTCAACAACGAGAGAATCGATTAGCAAACGATAACTTTTGTGTTCTAACAGAATTGTAATCGTTTGTGAACCGGATTGGGAACGGTGATTGCGATACCATCCTAGAAGTAAGAATCAAAAAACTGACCTGCGTATTAAGACTGTACGTCAGCTGATTATTGATTGTTTTTCTTTTATTTCTTTGTCCATTTTCTGTTTTTAATTTGCTGATTCCTCAAGTTTTATTTGGTATTTATCGTTTTTACACATATTTTAAATAATTATTTTTATATTGTTGTACTAAATATGAGAGGTGATGACGAGGACAGTGATAAAGGTGATTTCCTAATTAAAAGATAAATAAATTCAATAATCCGTAAATAAATACAAAATTTGAAATTTATATCAAACCTATAGGCTTTGTGCATTTCAGTTGATGTCAACAAATTCCGACCGCAGCGCTTCAACGGCAAAAATCAGAAATTATCCCTACCTATTTCACGCCCCCGCGCCGTCATGTTGATCGCATTAAAATAATATTGAAATAGTGGTTTTGTCATAATATTTAAGTTATTTAGTTTTTTGCTAGTGCAGTTATTGAGACTATAAAACACTCAGATACGAGGTTTGTGTGATGTAACAGAGGAATTCGAACTAGGCGTCGCGTCGTGTTGTGTTGTGATAATTTCAAATGTTAATAAAAGTGCCGAAAAAACGTCAACGCGTAAAAGAGAGTAATTAGGGCATTTTTAGATGCAATAAAATTCAATAATTCAACTTTCCCAGATATTCAACTCTCCCGAAACAACATTTTATAGCTTCATAGTTTCTCCACACCGATTTAATCAAAAACAAAAATGGATTCAAGCAGTTCGACGAAACAAGTGAGTAAACAAAGTGCTCATAATCAAAAAATTAAAAAGACATACTATGAGAGGATAAAATATAATTTGCAATATTATTGGTATACTTTTTTTAATCAACTAGTGATTAAATGTTTTATGAACATCTTCTAAAATTATAATTATGTACCTTTAAAAAATTTTGATATAGCCGAAATAGCCCAAATCATGCCCCACTAGCAAAACCGGTGATTAAAACTATGCTCGTTACCGTAGTTGAACTCTTCTAAGAAGTTTTTTTTAACTGGAATAATAAATTATAATACAAGTTAGACCTTCTGAAGATATCAAAATATTTACTTTTTTATTTTTATTTTTAGAATTTTCACAAATTACACTTCCTAACACTTTTAGAATAATTAAATAATACATTTTTCGTATTCTCGCTATTTAAACCCATGTATTTGTAAGTACGAGTTGTCTAAAATATTCTCATATGGTGGCAGCACTGGCGGAGAATGCACCACCTATATAAAATTAGGTTATGAATTTGATTCTAAATTCAGCCCAAAAACCGTTCCAACCCGTAACAGAACTGTCCAAGTTGACACAGGCGTACAAATCCGACAGCGACGATCCTAATAATTACCGTTCTAGAACGGTACACATTGCTGTGTTGGAACAAACCTAATATAAAAATAGTATCTGCTTATAGTATTTTTATTCAATGGCAGAAAGCCAATAATCCCTTAGAAAGCGAGCGAAGCACACCAAGTACCTGCGAAAGTATGGTTAAAAGCTGGAGAGGTGCTGGGCAAACTAGGCGACAACGATACAGGACTACAAGACGAAGGTTCCCATCGCGAACCTTGACTTAATCCGGCCTTCTTCTTTGACGCATCGCCCTCGTACTCTGACATCTCACTCTCTGACGTCGGATCCCATTTGTTCGTGAACTTTTTCGGCTTGAATTGAGGCGTTGGAGGGTTGTAGGTGCTCGTACCGTTATAAGTGCCGCTTGGATGGGTCGTGGTTTCGTGATACACCGGCATTTCGATGTCCACCGTTCGTTTGGGAGGTTCTATCACTGTTTTCTTAGGAACTGGGATTTCACCAGACTTTCCTTCTCCTGGTAGGATGATGCCGAATTCGTAACCAAAGTCGTATTTGAAGTAGATCAGACCTGTGTCTGGATCCACGTGTTTTGTTCCTAAAAGGTTATGGTTAAGAGTGTTAATAAATTAGTTAATTTTAAGTAGGGTTGTATACCATGCTATGTGGTGTAATTTTAAGTGTGTCAGTAATAATTAAAAATTTTATCAAAAAATTAGTACTTATATGACAACGAATTTTTTCTTTAAAACTTGAATACTATTTAGACAAGATGGTAGACAATGATTCAGTATTGAAACTAAAAGAATTTCAGACTCCCATTGTCTATTTATTTTTACTTACTCAATACGTTTCGATCAGAAGGACCACATCAAATGTAAACTGATTTCGTTTTCTTAAATACTATTTATTATTATTTACAATCACGTCATTAACAAAAAGGAGGTACAGTATTTTATACTGTATAGTGAAACACACCTTTACATACTTGATTAGAGTTGGAAAAATAAGGTACTTAATAGTTTCATTCGCAGAGCAGCCAGAAATAGTTTGGCAGTAGTTTGAAACTTGACTTGAGTATTTTTTTCGAAATTCTCACAATAAACATTTCACTCATAGTAAAAGTCGATTTACCTGATTTATAACATAAGTATATTCATTCTATTGAAAATGAAAAATGTATTAAAAATGACAAAAAATGTTTACTCTTGGTTTTGACACATTCAAAACCAGTAAAATATAATAACTTTTGACAATTTGGAATTTATCGTTTGTTTCTTCTAATTTCGTTTATAATCAAATATAGCCAACAGGTTATCAGAAAGTGATAATAACAAAAACGAGTATCACGAAAGTGATGTTAACATTGAGTCTTGTCAGAACTTAGAGAAGCTGCAGAAGCAATAGAACTGAGAGATGAAAACAAGTGGAAGAAAAGGATGAATAAAAATGGAGGTAAAAATAGATAATGTGAAACTTTCAAAAATTTTAAGGTTAGTAATTTATTTTACAAAACCGGTTAATATTTTGGGTATTTTTTTCTTAAAAGCCTTACCATGTCCAACAGTCCTAGACTCTTCCCGGTACACCTGAGCGTCTGCATCAGTAGTACCAGTTTTCAGTATAGGTTTCTGTTGCTGTTTCTTGCTGACATCGCTCACAATGTCCTGAACAAATTGCTGCGTTTTCGACTTGAATTCCTTCGTCATACTGTCCATGTGATGAGACGCCATCTTAGTAGCGGTGCATTTTGTCATTCTTTGGTCTGCCACATAACCATATTCAGGTGGGGTCCCTACGAAAAATTAAAGTAGGTATAAATAAAACAATCTACATTGAAGCTTTATTTAGAACCTCAAAGTTAGTAGAATAAATTAGTGGTTTCAATATTACTTTATACTTAAAACTTCATTCAGAACCTCGCAATTAGTGGAATAAATTAGTGGTTTCAATTACACTTTATATTTTTTAGTTTACGATCATTCACAATGCCTAAAAGCAAAATTAAAATTAACAGAATATCCTAGCAACAGCTTGCCAGAGTCAGTTGTATCACTTGTATCCATAGAGAAGGACCAATAATTTGCTTAAAAAATAATAAACTTTTCATTTCTAACCACAATTTCTCTTGACGGAGGAGAATCGCAGATCAAAATGACATTACTCGCAAATTTTAAGATATCATTAGTGGAAAATGTTAAAAGTTTGTTTACTTTTTCTACTAATTGGAAATTACTGCCACTAATTTTGACGTCCTGAATGCTTACATTGAAACTAGAGGAACAATATTCTACGCTAATTGAAACCACTAATCTCGAGGTTCTGAATAAAGCTTTAATTTTTTCCCAAATTACCTGGTTTTAGTTTTGCTGGTGGTTCATAAGAATGGCTCCTCTTCATTATTTGATTTGAACTGCTCTCTGAAGATCTTTTAAAGCTTGAGGATTGATGTCTTCTTGTTTCTCCATCGACGTAATCTGATGTTCTGCTAATATGGGTCGATTGGACAGGACCTCTGTCAAATTCCATGGGTGTTTGGACTCTTTCTTGGAAACTAACTCTGTGGTCGTAACTTTTGGACTCGCTTGGAGCTGTAACTCGTCTAAAAAAATTGTGAAACTTTGGATGAACCTTTTGCAAGCTGCGTGAACAATAAATTATTGTGTAATGTAAAGTTTTAAGTTGTGTTTTATTCATTCATATGAATGGTTTAAGATGCGAGAGGACAATATTCCACTAGTGGAATATTGTTCTCTAGACTTCGCTGGCTGTAAATTGGTAGTTGCTTCATGAGCTTCCGCAAGAATTGCTGCAGGATTACCATCATTATCACATGTTTCAGTGAGTTTTAAAAAACTTTTGCAATTTATTATCACATAAATTCTCAATTTTACTCTTGCCAAGCTTTTGCTTGTATCAATATTAAACATCATAGTTATAATAACCACAAACGCTATTTTCAATTCGATTTTTAAAGATTAATTTTTTTCATCAATTTTCTATAATTCTAACCAAATATATATTGTCTGTTCTTAAATTCACTTAAGAAAATTAAAGCTCGAATAATTTTTAAATAAATAAAAAAAGCTTTACCTATAATGCCTATCTTCAGTATCACTGCCACCTGGAGTCCAAAGTGGTCTAATCCGTGTAGACTCTACTTCACTCTCATAATCGCTTTCTTTAAAACTTCCAGGGATGAATTTAGTAGGTGTTACTGGTGGTGGAACACTGGCAGCTCTTCTGGGTTGCGCTGGTTCAGGCGAATAAGGAAATGGTTCTACCTTGGTTGATTGCTCCTGTCTTCTATATTGATCTCCGAATTTGATCACCTTATGGGTTTGCTGGACGCTCATCGTCCGTTTGCAAGTATCCGTGGATTCATCTAGATGGACTACATTGGATGTTTCTGTCTGGATTGCGTTTTGGTATGGAGCACTAGTGGTTGACCTAAAAGTATAACAAGATTTTTATATTTTCATTATTTTTTTTAGCAAAAAGTACCTGTAAAATTGTGTTCTTCTAGGTCCAGCAGCATACCCAATCTCTGGAGGACTTCCAGGCTGAATAAATACAGTCTTCTTAGGAACAGCAGGAGTAGCTACCACTACATCAGTAACAGCCGAAGTAGCTGACATAGCTTTAGGCTTACAAACCACAGGTTTAGGAACGGGAGTAATTTTTTCAATCGGCTCAAACTTAGGTCTTGGTGGTCCATCAATCAGAGGAGGTCTATCGAATTCCGTCGGAGGTGTAGGAGTTCTACCTCCTTGATGGTATTGCTGGCTTGGAGTCAGTACTGGTCGTACAGGCTTGTAATACTTATCAGTGTGTTGACCCCAGATAGGAGGAATCCTGCCCTCATAGTCACTTTCATAGTCGCTCTCTCTAAATTCACCTTTTACAAACTTTGAAGGGCTGGGTGGAGGTGGTCCTTTCGATTTTTTAGGTCTTGGAGGTTCAGGATGATATGGAAGTGATTCCAGGTGAGTTTCTTTTTGGTGCTGTTCTGAAAATTGTTCTGTCGTTTGGCTAGTTACGATCGGTGTTGCTATAAATTCCTGGAACAGACGAACATTCCTTTGTTAGAATAACCAAGCGTATTAAATAGTTTGGGTTATAAATATGAGGCTACAAGGAACAAGTTCTTAAGTATTAAATTGCCTGTAATAAGGGTATACTATTACGATATTCTGGGTATGCCACTACTAAAAATATTCTATTTTATTAGACATATGACTCAGTGGCTACTCAAATTAGTCTAGAAGAAATACTAATATTTTTTTAAATTAATGTGGTAAAAAACAATCTTTCAAAAAAAGGAATCAATAAATAATTTCCAATTATTACATACTGAGAAGAAAGTACTAAAATTCCGAAAAGTTGTGTAAGTTAAAATAATTAAAGACAATGAAAGCCCTAAGTTTAGTATCATCAAATCAGTATTAATACTGAATCATTATATACCACATTCATAGAAACGATAGAAAAAAAAGGCTTACTAGATTGATCAAGACTTTTACAATTTTTGTCTCATGTTTAGGATAGGTAATCTTAACAACTCGTTCCCTGCAACTACTGAAATAACAGTCAACGTGCAAAGAAAAAATTAAATGATAACTAGAACACAGAAAAAAATTAAAATTGATGTTATTAATAATTTAATTCGTTATTGAAACAGACAAACAATATATAATGTTGTGGGAATCTATAAAGCTTCATTCAGAACCTCGAAATTAGTGGAATAAATTAGTGGTTTCAATTATACTCAATACTTAAGAGTTTGCGATCACTCACAATGTGTAAAAAATACAATTAATTTATAAATACAAAATATCGTAGCAACAGCTTGCGGTAGTCAGTTGTATTCACTGAGAAAGCCTAATAATACGTAATTAGCTTTGAATAAGAAGACTAAAGAAGGTAATTAGCTTATAAAACAATCAACTTTTTTTTTCTAACCACAATTTCTATTGACGGATGACATACAGGGTGTCCCAGAAATAAGTGCAAGTATTTTAACTGGTAGTATAGTTCAACCCCAGAAACACGCCTATGAGGTTTTTTCGCGAAAATGTTTTTTTGAAAATTCGGAATATTTTGAAAAAATGTTTGGAAATTTTTTTAGTTTCTAGTTAAAAAACATAATTTCTTGATAATATGACAACATAGGTAGTAGATGAAATTTACAAGAAAGAAAATCCAGAAAATATCCAGTGGTTCTCGAAATTTTAGCAAAAAATATTTTTTTTTGGAAATTTTCAAAGTAAAATAACTCCGTTATTTTGGACTTATTTGAAAAACGATCAAGAGAAAATATGTTTCTTTTATCGAGATCTACAAAACCCTTAAAATACTTGCACTTATTTCTGCGACACCCTATATAAAGGCCAAAATGATATTACTCGCAAATTTTAAGTAAGTACAATTAGTGGAAAAATTATGGTTCTGAATGAAGCTTAAGTGAGATTTCTTTAGATTATTTTTATTAATGTCAATCAGAAATTGGTGAGATGTAAGTTTAGTATTAGCATTGTATTTATAATGTATGTTAAAATAAACCTTAGAAATATATTAAAATCTTCTGAGATAACTAAAAACTTCTTGATATTATACACTATAAAAACAATGATATTAAATAAAGTCATCCTAAACTCACATCAACTAATAATACGTGACAATTCCATTCGTGAATCTGGTTCGAAATAAGCAAGTGACTTAAAAATCTAAAAAGCCATTCATTGGGAAATTGCAACTGAATAATAAAAAATAATAAAAGAAAACAGCAATAGCAATGCAACAATCCTTAACAGCATCACACACAAGAAGCCAACCTTCTTAGCTGAAGAAACCGATGTTTGATGATGCTTCTTGACAGGAAACTTGGAAACTCTTGGTTTGGGAGCGACGACTTTTTGGGTTGAGGTAGAAGACTCAAAAATTTTCTGACTAGACTGAGAACTATGCCTGGATTCTGTATGCTCTTCTCTGAAATGCTCTGTTTTAACTATTCTTTGTTGAAATGGCTCGTCTGTATCAGCCATATACCCATCGATAACCACTTTTTTCTTCAGTTTTGGAGAATCCGGCTTTTTTTCTGCTGGATAAACATACGTAGGAGGACTTGCTGGCTTTATCCTGGGAGGAGAAGATTCTCTCCTCACTTGCTCAAAGTGTTTCGTCATTTTTTTAATCTGTGATGCATCCTTCTTTCTTCTATATTCCTCAAAATTTATTTCTGGTCTTGGTGGTCCGTGAAATTGGGGAGGTTTCTCGAAACTTGAAGGAGGTAAAGGTTCAGGCTCTTGCGACCTTGACCTGCCTGCAGATGTTGATCTGGGCGGTTGAACTCTCCTATACCGTGGTTCTTCAGTGTCACTCATTGAAGGCCTCCATTTAGGAGGAATCCTCACAGCTTCAAAATCACTCTCGTAATCACTATCCGTAAATCTTCCTTTGATAAACTTTGAAGGTGTAGGTGGAGGACCTGTTCTAGGTGGTCTAGGTCTTTCTGGATCGGGTTTGAAAGGAAACGGTTCCAGTTCAGGGAATTTTTCGAAAGGAATATAAGGTAATTCCTTTGGAGGTTTCTTTGGTTTTATTTCTACTGGCCTAGATGGTCTGGCGGGCACAGGAGGGGCTTGAGGAAATTCTTTTTTAGGCGGCAGAGGTGGAGGGATCGTTCTTACAGCGCAGGGAGGAACCTTAGTGGGTTCTCTTTGTAAATCCCTCTCTAATTCTTGTTCTACTGTTTCAACATAAGAACGCCTTCTTTGTTTAGGTGGTTCGGCATAAGCAATTTCTGGGGGAGGTCCAGGCTCAAGAATAACCTCATCAGTAATATCCTGAACTGAAACAGGTCTAATCGATAACGATTCTATGGTTGGATAAGGTTTAGGAGGTGGAGGAACATATTCCTTTACAGGTTGAGGCGGAGGCCAAGATCTTTGCGATGGTCTCAAATTACTCTCTTCAACTATATGTTCCGATTTCGACGTAGATAACGATTCGAAGTTTTGGTCCCTAACTGTCGTCTCCAGTCGAGTCACTTCCCCTATATAGTGAGGTACTAGAACTGGAGTTTTGTCTAAAAAAGTCTTGCTCTCGTGTACGGTTTTCTGAGTTTGTATTTGTACAGGGGCCCATTTCTTCTCTAACGTGCTTTGCGTGCTCCAAGATTTCGTTGTTTTGGATTCTTGGGCTTGAGGAGGGTTCCATGTTTGACCTACATCAGTAAATTTATGAGCCCACTGTTTCTCCATTTGCAAGGCATCTAAAGGTGGCTCTGCAATACCTGATAGAGAAGATAATGGACGACTGTAACTCTGTTTTTCTATAGAGTAAGTTGAGGAAGCGACAGAAGCTGGCCGTTCAAGTATTTCGTGTCTCGGGGACCAAATCTTTTGAGTGGAAGGTATTTCTGGAGTTTTCGGCCTAAAAGCTGGAGATGATGTTGATTCGTATCGATGACTGTATGAGGAGGACGAAGTTTGGTACGATGAAGATGTTTGATATGATTTCTCTGAAAATTCTTTTTTCTCGCAGACTTGAGCTGGTTTTTCTTGTACAGTTGGTGGGAAAATCCTAACTCCACCCTGGGGTACTTCATGTGCTGGCAGGCTTTTTGAACACTCAGATATTTTCTGCACTCTTTCGAAAACACTTTCTGATTTTTTACTGGACTCTACTTTAGGAGCGTAACATATATCTGCTGGAGGTTCAGGTTTTAAATCATACTCTTTAATAACTTCAGAAGAAAAAGATTTATACTCCTGAGGAGCTGACACATGCTGAGTTGATGAAAACGATGAAGAATATTCTTGAGTAAATGGTTTGTATTCTTTTTGAGTCGTGGTTAAAACACTTTCAGACTTTTTACTGGTGTCTGCTTTAGGTGAGTAACATATATCAGCAGGAGGTTCAGGTTTTAAATCAAATTCTTTAGTAACCTCTGAAGAATAAGCTTTATATTCTTGAGGTTCTGAAATATGCTGAGTTGAAGAGAAGGATGAAGAATACTCTTGAGTAAAAGGTTTGGATTCTTTCTGAGTCGTTGAAGAAAACGATTTAAATTGCTGAGTAATCGGTTCAGAAACCTTTTGAGTAGTAGACGAGAAGCTTTTATATTCTTGACTTATTGGAAGTGTCTTTGTTTCTTTGCTAACTTCCTTGGTGGACGAATAAGATTTGTATTCTTGAGTTACTGGTGCAGTTGATATTTTCTCGTATGATTTTGTTTCGCTAAATGAAGGTGTAGGAGGAATAACGAATGTTTCGACATCCTTCTTAACTTGAGATTCAGTAGAAGAGAATTTTTGGTATATCTCAGGCTTGATGGGTTTAATAGGTTCAATGGGTATTTCTTTTGGAGGTGGTGGTCCAGATTCACCTTCCTTTATCTTCTTTACAAAGTACTGTAATGAAGATTCTTTCGAAATTGAGCTACTTTCAATACCACCCTCTTCAGTAACTTCTCTTTTTTCCTCTATAATTTCTTGCTTTCCTTCAGGTCCTAATTCATGACATATTTCGTAGTCTGTATGTTTCTGATAGGAAGTCTCTTTCCTTTCAATGGGTTTTGGAAGAGGGATATCGGGAGTTTTGTGTTCAAGTTTATAGGTTTGAGATTGTTGAGAAGTGGTTTGTTCGCTTTTCGAGGTTACCTCCGATTTAGAGGTGAAGGATTGAGATATTTCGCTGCTAATGGGAACTTTAACTGGCACTATGGGTGCCGCAGTTGTGACAGTAGATGACGTCTTGTCAGCTGTAGAAGCCTATGAAAGGAATTAAAAGTGATATATTAAATCTGCTTTCTACCAAAAAAAAATTTGGCACAAAAACAACATTTCATTAAAAATAAAAAAATATAAATGAAGTTATTCTTACCAACGTTTCGTGTTTTTTCACGTCTTCAAACATGACAGTTTTAACGACCTCTACCATAGTGTCTGGTGTAGGTTCATATACAGCAATGTCAGCTATGCTCTGTGCTTCACCTCCGGCATTTGTAGCTCTTACCATATAACGTCCACTGTGTTTGAGATCAGCTGAAATGGTTAGAGAGTTATTTTTTTTTTTCTAAAACGCTTTATAAGACTTGTTTTTATACAAAAAATATTTGCAAGAACATCTTAATTTTACAATAATGTACAAATCAAAATCATTTAAACCAACCTTTGTCAATTGTAACAGAATGAGACTGTCCCAAAGACTTCACCCTTATATCCCTCAGAGCATCTCTAAGGGGTACTCCATCTTTGTACCATGTTACTGTGGGTTCAGGAGTTCCTGTCACCTCAACTTCCATAATAATTCGTTCGTTTTTCTTGATAACCTGAGCCTGCAGACGTCTTCCGAAAACTGGAGGAAATATAGTTTCTACAGAAGAAAATTAATTTGTTAATTTTCAATGTTCATAATATTTCAAATACGATTGTACTTATATGATATTTTTACTTACTTCTGACAACTAGATCAGCAGTGGATACAGCAGTACCTGCAGAATTTTCTGCCTTACAGCAGTATCTTCCACCGTTATTAACGTTTGCGTTCTTAATTTCAATCCAAACTTTATTTCTGTCATATTTAATTTTCAACTCGTTACTCTCTGTTAATTCCTTTCCATCTTTAGTCCAGTGAATAGTTGGTGGAGGTCTAGCATCCAGAATCCCTTCAAGAACAACATCCACGCCTTGATCGATTATCTTTCCTGTGATTGGAGATATCCATTTAATTGTACTTGCACTTTTGATTGGTCTTGAAACAACTTGACTTTCTGTACTCTTAATCTCAGATTTTTTACTACTATCATCTTGATCTCCATATACGTAAGTCTTTTCAGTAATCACAGGAGGTTCTTTTCCGATTTTGTGATATTCCTCGATCTTGTGAGTGCCTTGGATATGCGGTGCATCTTGATTGACTTGCTTGAAAGTTTTTGATTCTTGAGAAACAGTTCTGTGTTCTTCAATGTGAGGTTCAGCGAGTTGGGTTGATGAAGAAATCGTTTTACTTGAGGAAGTTGTCGAGGATTGAGTAACCACTTCACGGTTAACTGAGTAAGATGACTGGATGTGTTGCTGCTTTAAATCTGATGGAACTATTGTGGTTGAAGTTGGTAAAACTTGTTCAGGGAGTGCGATATCTGCTGATGACTGTACAGTTAAAGATGCGGCACAACTAGCCTTTCCAACTTCGTTCTCAGCAACGCAAGTAATCGTTCCCTGGTGCTCTGGTTTTAAATTTGAAATGCTTAAAACTTGACGATCTCCTGAAGTTGAAATTAAGATCCCTTCGCCAGAGATAGGGTTACCATTGAACAACCACCTCACTTTTGGAGTTGGTTTGCCTGCAACTATACACTCAAATTTAGTTGGAGTATATTCAAAAGCTACTCTGTCGTTGAAGAGTTCTTTGAAAGTTGGAGGAGATTTCACTTCTTCGTATGGTTTAATCGTTTCAGCTAGTTTGGAGGATTTAACTATAAGCTGTGAGAAGCATTTTGCTTCTCCGGATACGTTGGATGCTTTGACGGTGTATACTCCTTTGTCTTCTGGACGGACTGAGTCGATTTCGAGTTTGAAATTTCCTTCATGGTCTAGAGAGGTTTTGAAGTGATCTGCGTCGGTTATTGGTAGATTGTTTAGGAGCCATTTTAGTTCTGGTTTTGGTTCACCAACGACATTTCCTACGAAGAAAAAACTAATGAAACATTACTTATAAATAATTAAGTATTACAAAATTAATGAAGTTTATGAAAAAAGTGAGTAAAATAAAGTAGAATTTATAATCAACAAAGGTAATTATAATCTTCAATGAAACAAATGTTATATTTACCTTCCAGTATAACTTTATCTCCTTCAGATACCAATACATCTGTCAACAATTTAACAAACTTAGGAGGTGAACCACCAGGTTCTTCAGGTTTGGCTTCTTGTTCTTTGGGTTCGATCGATAAAATGCACTTGCTTGAAGCTTCTCCTGCAGAATTTAAGGCGACTACCCTGTATTCACCTGCGTCTTCAGGGAGAGCTTCTTGGATAACTAGGGAACATCGGTCTCCTTGGAAGAGCAACTGGAAATCTGGAGATTCCTTGACAGGACGATCATCGTGGTACCAAATAACTTCAGGTTCTGGTTGACCGACAATGACACAGTCTAATCGAATTCTGTTTCCTGAAATTTTAAAGTTTATATAGTATAATTTGTGTTAATGTTTATAGAACTCTTAAAAAATTAACACTTGTAGAAACGGATTATTTTCACAATTAGATAGTTTCATTTGCATATTTTTTGAGTGTGAATGTTTAGTTAGTAAATACCTGAGTGAGCGTAGCAATATTACGTTAGCCTAGGTACCAGAGCACAATGGTCACAAGGGTAACGAAAACGCAAATTAAATAGCCAAACAAGGCTCACCAATGCCATTCATAGGCACAGAACCCTTTTACGCCGCTGCAAAAGCAGTCACAGCAATGGCCACAAAAAGTAAATAATTATGTACCTTCTTTAGCTACTGTGTTAGCTAGGGGTAGCTGAATGGAGGGCTTGATGGGCTCCATGTCGCTGGCTATTTCGCTGTCGGAAGTTTCGTTCGGTAGACGGCCTTTCACTGACACATTACAAGTGGAAAAACTCTCGCCCGCAATGTTTTTCGCGTTCACAGTGTAGACGCCGGCATCTTTCGGAAATGCTTCGAGAACGACTAATGTGGCTTTGTTACCTTCGAATTGTAGCTGAAATACAACAGAAGATTTCACTAAATTTTATACTACTAGTTGAAGCCTGGCGCATCCGCCACGACATCAGGAGAAAAAATACTTTTTATTTTTTTTAATTAAACGAAAAACAGAAAATCCGGCGACAAAAGTTTTTAGAAGAGCCAATTAGCTATCTTTTAGTAAAAAACAACTTTCTAGAGCAAGTCGTTACTTCAGTAGAGACGACACAGATAAACATTAGCATTTTATATATGTAGATTATACTATTTGATATAACCTCATTATTAGACTTTCTATACAGGGTGAGTTTTAAAATGGATTTATTTTAGTTTTTAGTTAAAAAATTAAATTTGTTGATAATATGGCTTTGTTGATAATATAAGATAATTAGTATATTAAATTTACAAGAAAGGAAATCCAGAAGAGATCCAGTGGATCTCAAAATTTTAGCAAAAAATCATTTTTTTTAATTTTCAAAGTAAAACATCTTGGTTATTTTAGATTTATTTGAAAAACGGTAAAGAGAAAATATGTTTCTTTTATCGAGATCTACCAGCCCTGAAAATATTTGCACTTATTTTAAGACCCTGTATGGCTACAAATAACTAACGCAAGCTGTTGCCAGGATATTCCATTAATTTTAATTGGATTTTTTAGACAATGTGTATAATCGTAAATGGTTAAGTATAAAGTATAAAATTGAAACCACTAATTTATTCTACTAATTGCGAGGTTCTGAATGAAGCTTTTTAAATAAAATTTGGATAATTTTAGAAAATTAGACGTTACTATTGAACGAATTTTTCATTTTTGAAACTTAAACTTCGACAAAATCTTCCATAGAGACAAAATAATTCTGCTATTTTTAGAATATATTTTGTTCAAGTGTACTTAAAATATTCCAAAATATCAGCTGTTTATTTGAAGAAGTAAACTGTGTCGATCTTGATTCATAGAAAACGAATAGTTTTGCACTGAGCTGTAAGACATAAAAATAATTCTAAGAATGTTTCTATTGAATATGTTAAACGTTATACATTTTAATGAAAAAAATATAAGCTTTAATTAATATTTTTTATTCTACGTATTAGCTGGTCCAGCTAACTTCGAACCACAATCAATTTTCAGTTGACTTATTACAAATTACAAATTATTAGTCAATTGCGAAATATGGTACAGTTCCAAACCTAATTAACTATTAAAAATGTATTTTCTGTATTAATGTTTTATCCGTGAATTTTTCAAACATTTTGATAGTTATTCTACTATTCAGGGCGGAAACAAATCCATCAAATCAAAAATGACTAAAATCGGTTCAGTAATTTTTGAATTATAAATGGTGTAATAATATATAACCAAACTGACTATTTCTATAGATTGTAGTTATTGTAGGTACATCAGATTCTAAACAATAAGAGATACAGAAAAAGAACTAAAAAAGTTAAGGAACTGCAGTTGAAGGTTTAAAAATACATCGAATGGATGTTGCCAACCGAAAAAAAATGAGTTTGGACCGAAATAGTCACAATTTGCCATACATTTCTTTTCAGTTCATTAGCTTTGTTTTGTTTGTCTCGTTTGGTTTTAAAAATATACACGATATATTCTCTTATAACACCCAGCAGTTTGTTTTTAAAATTTATCCTTCATATAAAAGAAATTATTTTCGTATAATTTTAAGTATTAAAAGTTACAGTGGACTCTTTAAATATTAAATAAAATTTGTATATCTAAAAAGTAATTAAACAGGAAAATATGTTTGTTACCTTTAGCCAATACAATAGAATCACAACAACAAAAACTATTACACCAAAATATGGTGCGAAGTCTTCCCAGTAGAAATTCGTTTCATCCAATCGACAAGCCATGTTAACACTCTTTATTTAATTATTCATAACACATAGTTTTTAACAAACATTGAGCAACCCCTCGTTAAAGAAAATTATTTAGTAAACCTTACACAACACCCATGAAGACACTGAATCGTTTAATCTTATTGGTAACCGGCTTTAAAAAAAATCTAAACCAAAATATCTTGAGCAGCCAAGCTATTGCCAATAAGCAGACAGATGCCAAAAATAATTATCAGTTTGATAATTTTAATAAGTCTGGGTCTCGGGATTTTGTTTGTATTTTTGTAAGGTTACTTTATATAAAATGGGATTTCAGTGTCAAAAAAACGGTTCAGCAAACATTGATGAGATATGATACACCGATAAGAAATTTTAAGGAGAATGAACCCATAAAGTATAAAATATAAGTTTCTTCCTCTAGTTTCAATCTAAGCATTCAGAATGCCAAAATTAGTAGTAATAATTTTCAATTATTGGAAAAAGTTAACAAACTTTTAACTTTTTCCAAAATTATACTTCCAAATTTGCGAGTAATGTCATTTTGGCCCTTGATTGTCATCCGTCAAGTGAAATTGTGGTTAAGCTACGTTTACACGATGCAAGTTTTGCTTGCGCAAGAACTTGATTGCAAGTACTTGCTTAATGTAAACTGTGGTTCAAGTAATTACTCAACTGATTGTACAAGAAAAATTACTTTGCAAGTAAAGTTGATCGACGGTCTACTTTTCTTGCACGCTAGTACTTGCAGAGCGAAAATTTTACATGTAAACACGTTGTCAAGTTCTTGCAGTAGCAGTTGCACGAAAGAATGGCCCCAAGCAGGTTGTCTCACGACCAAATTATGAGGTTTTTAACAATTTACGAAAAGCACGAATGTTTGTAGATCGTTAGAAGAGTAGTACACCTTAGTGTACACTATAGAAATCAAATTATGCGATGCTGCCTCTGAAAGAGTTTTGGAATAAACAGTTTTTCCTCAGATTTATCCATGGTTTTACTCATACTCTTGTTTTTTGATTTTTTTCTAACAAAGTACGCAATTCATCACTTAACGTATGACACTTAACGTATATCTTGCACAATAACTTGACTAGTGTAAACATACAATTTTAAAATGTTCAGTTGCAAGTACCTACTCGCAAACAAGTATTTGCGCAAGCAAAACTTGCATCATGTAAACGTAGCTTTAGGAATGAAAAGTTTATTGTTTTATAAGCTAATTTTAGGCTTTCTCTATTTATACAACTGACTACCGCAACCTGTTGCTAGGATATTCTATTAATTTTAATTGTATTTTTTTACACACAGTGAATGATCGTAAACTCTTAAATATAAAATATAATTGAAACCACTATTTATTCCATTAATTTCGAGGTTCTGAATGAGGCATATGACTATCCAAATACAATGGCGTAGGACACTTGCCCAAAAAATGTATACTAAAGATTATTACCCTAACAAGCAGGGTATTGGACAGAGTTGTCTTGAGAATATCTTATCTAAATCGGATATTTTATATCAAGAAACATAACGTTGTTAGGCTTCATCTTAGTATGTCTTCTGGTTTCCGAGATTCCTATATATATTTAAAAGGCCAGCACTGCATCTATATGCCTCAGCCAAAAACACAACAATACGTCTAATAATAAAATTTCAGGCGAAACATGTATCACTTGTTATTTTTACATAAAGTTGAACTAAAACCTCAATATTTCTTATAAAGAAACATAAAAAAATTTAATCTGTTTAATTGATTAGTATAACAGAAGTGCTAAATGAGAGCGGTTTCTAAATCTTCAGAATGATTTAGAAACTTCAAGATAACCTCATTTCCTGTAGAAATTAAATGAGATTCTCTTCCTTTACTAACCTTATTGGAAAGTTCCAAGAAAATTAAATATGAATATTTTATATCTGGTGGTATTAATGGAGTAATAATTCAGATACAACTTCTGTTACAAAATAAAACATTAACACACCACAATACACCAAAACGTGCAAATGATTAAAATTAAACTCGTTTAGATGAACTCAGGTGATTAAAAAACTTTAGTTTTAATCATCTGCTGATTAAAGTGTTTTGGTGTATTGCGGTGAATTAGTATTTTATTTTGCTGTCGTAGCACCAAAAGTTTCAACCCCCTTTGTACTAAATACATCTTCTCTATCCACTTTTGTATATTTGCGAATCTTAATGCAAAGAAAAGTATCAGTAATTTATTGAAATAATGATACTACAACTAATATCAGGATCAGTCGTTAAATAAGAGCAAATATTTTCACGACTGGTATAGATCTCAATAAACGAAACATGTTTTCTCTTTACCGTTTTTCAAATAAGCCCAAAATAACCGAGTTACTTTACATTGAAAATTTCAAACAAAAATTGTGCTTGAATTTTGAGAGCTACAGGATCTTTTCTGGGTTTTCATTCTTGCAAATTTAATCTGCTACCTATGTTACCAAAATTTTCAAAAAATTCCAAATTTTACATAAAAAAATCGCGAAAAAAAAACCGTGGACGTGTTTCTATACTAACATACTACTACTAAAAATATTTTCACTTATTTAAGACTGACCCTGTAGAGTGTATTGATTATTTATTAACAATTAAAAATATAACTTGACTGGACTGCTACATAAGTTTTACCTATCACCATCTTGAAAAATTAATATCACAATCGAAGAGTATCACTGATATTGAGCGAAAATCTCATTATAACTTATAGAGCACTCATTATTTTCACAGGAAAGTTGAATAACGTTTCAAAAATATCTTCCAACACAATTCAACAAAGATCACCAAACTCACCGTTGATAATCGAGAGGTATCACAAAATTTCACGAACAAAGCGAACGAGCGTCCCGATTAGATTTTCGTGATAAACTCACCTTGATTTCACGCGTTTCCTTCACGGTTTTGCCGTTGTGCGACCAGGTCAGCGCGGGAGCGGGCAGTCCCGTCACCTCGCATTCCAACTTGATTTTTTGGCCCGCCCTGGCCATCACGTTGGACAGGGGAGCGCTGAACGCTGGAGCTTCGGCAGGTTTCAATGCTGGAACAACACAAATATTATTCAATAATAACTATAACATTGAATCGGGTTTATTTCTGGAGTTCTAGTCTTGGTATTTAACCGCATTGATTTAAACAAATTTAAATTATAGTTTATTATCTTTACTCATTTTTTTATATTGTGTTCTAGTGGGCCGATTTTGAAGATTTTTTAAGCAATTTGTAGCTAAATTATTTAACTTTTTAGTATCTCTTTCTGAATTAAAAATGAAAATTGCCATCTGTAAATTATACGAGGTAAAACAAAATGTTGATATTTTGGTAAAAGTTTAAAACACCCTGTGAAGTACGTTAACAAAACAAGGAATTTAAAAATAGTTTTATCATCTAGGTGTACCTTTTCTCAATAGTTTGTTTTTTGATTCATCTCAATAGGTTTATTTTTGTGGAGATATTCGCTTTTGAAGAAGATATTAACATTTTTTTATAATTTTTTCATTAAAACCATGCCTTTGCTTTTGGTCATAGTCAACAGACCTATAAAATAGTGTTTATGATTTATGTAATGTTACTGTCTTTGAAAAATCATATTATTATTGTCTATTGGGCAGTTTCTCTAGCAGATATGGTTTTAAGTCCAAAAGTTAATCTCTACCATGATCAATTAAAGCAACAATAGCCGATAGTTCAGAACTTAAAACCATCTTTACTAAAGTAAACGTTAATAAACAATAATAATATGACTTTTCAATGACAGAGACTTTACAAAAACAATAAACACTATTTTATAACTGTGTTGATGAGAATCCCAAATCAATGCTAAAATTGCTGTAAATCATTGCTATTTTATTCAAAAGGGAATATCTCCAATAAAAATAACACTATTGAGATGAATCAAAAAATAAACTATCGAGAAAAGACGTACCTAGATGACAACATAATTTTTAAATTCCTTGCTTTGTTAACATATTCCACAGGGTGTTTGAAACTTTCACCAAAATATCAAAATTTTGTTTCACCTCGTATAATTGACAGATGGAAACCCTCATTTTTAATTTAGAAAGAGGTACTAAAATATCAAATAATTTAACTACAAATTGCTCAAAAAATCGTCAAAATCGGCCTAGTTAAACAAAATATATTAAACTTTAAAATATTTTTATTTTATAACTTATATTTTCCAGTTCTGTCACTTTCTGCGCCTTTTTTTAGCATTGCCTAATACAAAGAACTGCATATTTGCCCAGTTATGGCACTGATATAAAATACATTCCGCCGTTTTGTGAAAAATGTTGCTATATAAATTGAAATAAGTTGTTTTAAGACAACTTTAACAATTCCAAAATACTATACGACAAATAAAAGTAGCTTTTTCTAATCCAATCAAATTACACAGTAGAAAATTTAAACATTTTAAATCGTTTTTTTTTTCTTTACTCTTTTTGTTTCTTGCCCCTGAAGATGGAGAGAGGTATACCCGATGAAACGTTAGGCATTTTTTGTTGGTTAGGAAAATTTGTTTTCGAGTAAAAAGCCACTGACTGAAGCTGATCTGCGTTTGTATTCTAACGCAGTGACATTTTACCCAAAAAGCAACTTTTTTATATTTGAAATTTTTGTCTCAGTATGGAAATAGCTAATATTTTCCTGGAAATGGATACGCCACAACGGTAAAAACAATATTTTTAAATTAATATTTTGTTTTCATAATTTACAAGAGTATGATTGACCGTTTCTTTGCAATTATAAAATAACAGACATATTATTTAAGATACTTTTGTAACAGATGTCGCAAAAGAAAAACATGATTTTTGCACACATTTTAGAAATTATTATTGTTTATTAAGTTATATTTGTGTTACTTCGCGTCAAATTTAAGATTAAAAGTAAATATAGTTCGTTGAAAAAGCCGTTAAAGCATGTATTTGAGGAAATAGAGTTTTGAAAGAGGTAGATAATTTAGATTTTTTAAGAAGAATTGTGTACGAATTATTTTAACAATTAAAATATTATGATATTTTACTATCTTGTTATTAGTTAGTTTTTATCGACCATCCTGGCAAGCGAAACCTTGGGTGGACGTTTACATGTATAGAAGTGAATAGCTATGACAATCTAGTAAGTCGGAGAGAGCAAAAATACGAAGTATTTATTACATAACCACTTAATCTGACACTAGATTCCATGCGCTTGGGAAAATACTTGCCTTCTATCTTTATTCAGTACATCTTATTTTACTAAGCCTGTTGACCGTACTCTTCGTACACACGAAAATCGACACCCAAGGCCAGAAATGCCTACCCTAGTGTGAATGTTTACCTAGTTTATAATAATAAATGAACCTCGAAATAAAACTTTTTTGTAAAAAACTTTTGTAAAAATTCAATTATTTCATTAACATGACCAAGCTATCTTAATATGATATGTAACATTTTAATTTGATACAAAAAAAAATCAAACATTTTCTACATATTTACTCATACGTTTGTCCTCCGTTTGGTGCCAAAATAGTAGATGAAATCGGATAATAAAATCAAGATACTCTAATAATAAACATCAGTGGGTTTTAACGCATTTAATGCTATTCTATTTTAAAACTGGTAGCCGAAATTATATATTTCTGCAAACCAATTTTTTAATACAGCAAAAAATAATCTAAATAATTGTGTATATCGTCTTGTGTAACCTCTACTCTCATAAAATAAATGGTATAAGAAACTATTGAAAATATCTAAATGCAACTATTCAAGAACATTAGTTTTTTATAAGATATGTCTATTATAAACCGTTGTTTTTATTTTTTGCTTCGGACGACGACCGGAGGAGATATACTGAAACATTGCCGGTTAGGCAAATTCGATATTTATTAGTGAAATATCACTGACAAATCGGTCTCCGCCAACGCAGTGATGTTTACAAGAAATAGCTTTTATATTTTGTAGATTTTCTTTCAGTGGCGAAAAACCCAGAAGTATTTTCAAGAAATAAACCCGCTACAAAGGTATAGATATAGTTTACTGTATATCTACTTTTTTCAACTCTAAATTTTTCAAAATATAATAAAGCTAGATATGTCATGTTATGTTTAAGGTTTAGTTAAAAAAATATCTGGTACAAAGAAATAATGTTGAGACATGAATTTAAATTCAGTTGCTCCCTGGATAATTATATTGATTTTTATTTTTACACCTGTTTTATTTGGTTCTAAATGTAAACGTTCTAACATCATTACGTCGAAACTGTATATTTTCTTGTATCTCGCAGAGTTCAACGAACCAAACTCTCAGACTGGAGTTGACAGACACAAAATTACGCTAAAATTATTTCTTGTCCACCATTATTTCGACTGAAAGGTTAAAAATAATATTCCTGACCTAGTTTTACATATCTATCCATAGATATTTTATTTTTGTTACTTAAGCAAGATCAGATCTAGGAAGTATAACAATTAATTTTATGGTTGGTTTTAACGAAAAAGCGTGGATAAACAGAAGCGACAGTATAAACGTCGGGTTCTTTGAAGTAAGTGTCCAATTTTGTTGACCTTGAAGTTATATATTTTGACAATTAAAGTCACTTGTCAAAATGTCTAATTTAAAAAAAAATGTTTCCAATTATTTACAATATTACATTTTTAAAAAAATGGTATACTCAAACGTCTCGATCTTTGAAAAAAATTAGCTGCGAGAGCGTTGAAGTCATGATTACTGTATCCCGCTTAAGATGGTCTGGTCACGTATGCAGGATGCAAGAAAACCGCCTACCTAAATATCTTCTTTATAGTGAGCTTGTAGACGGTAAGAGGACACCGGGTGGACAACTCAAAAGGTACAAGGATATTTTCCACGAAAACTTAAAGGGGATAAACATGCAGAATCAGTGGGAAGAAGCAGCGCACAATAGAACGCAATGGAGAAGAATTATAAACTCAGTTAACAGCGACAACCAAAAAGTTTAGAGTCTTTTTCAATAAATCGCGATAGTGTCACTGTTAATTTAAGTTCTGCCACAATTTCCATCTAGATTTACTACCTTTATACAACTATCAGTAGTAGAATAAATAATAAATAACATAAAATAAGCTCCGTAAAGACCGACAAATCCACAAAATTTCAAATCAAATTCAAATGTGTCAAATGAATCGTCAAACAGAACTGTCAAGGATCCCCACCCTAGAGAGCTTTTATGGTGGCTTTTCCGCCCACCATGCATGAATACATGGATAGCATTATGCTCCTTCCTTAGTCTTCTTATTCAAAGTGAAGAGCATATAAAATGTAAAAAAAAATAAAAATTGAGTTACATTTATATTAAGAAAGAACTTACGTGTGATTATCAGATTTGCAGTACTCTGAGCAGTTCCCAGTTCATTGACAGCTTTACAGGTATACTCCGCCTTATCCTCCAATAACACTTTTTCAAACTTCAAAATGGCTTCTCCATTATTATACGTAATCACATAATCCGGAGAATTGTCTATACACTCGTTATTTTTAAACCACTGAACAGTTGGTAGAGGATTACCCTCAACTTTACACTCAAACTGGAAACTAGCTCCCTCTTTCGCTGTTGCAGGTTGTAGCATTTTTGAGAACGAAGGCGCGATTAGTTGCTCATCTGGTTCTGTTTCCTTCACTGACAGCATTGCAGAGGTTTCTGCAACTCCGGCAGAATTACTGGCTTTGCAAGTATACTTAGCAGAGTCTTCAGCAAACGTTTCTTCAATGGTAAGAGAACAAAGTCCGTTATCAAACGATGTATGGTAATCAGGATTATTCTCAATAGGAACTCCAGACTTAAACCAAGTGATATCTGGAGTAGGATTTCCAGTAACCTGACAGACAAAATTAAACTTAGAACCTTCCTGAATAACTGCATCACTGAGAGGTGTAATAAACACAGGAGATTCTTGAGGTTCTTCAACAGTGGGGCTCTTATCTTTTTGGAAAGACTCAACTTTATGAATTTCAGTTATTTCGGTTATTTGAACTGAGTGTTGTTTGCGTAATTCTTCTTCAATTCTCTTCTGTTCTTCTATACGAACTTGTTCGAGTCGAGCTTTTTCTTCTTCAAGTCTTTTATTTCTTTCTTTTTCTTCCTGTCGTCTAAGGTCGTCTAACCTTGCTTGCTCTGCCTGGCGCATTTGCTCTAAACGAGCTTCTTCAACCCTGCGTCTCTCTTCTAGCTTAGCTTCTTGAGCTTTTCGGTTTTCTTCATCTAACCTAGCTTGTTGTGCTCTACGCTGTTCTTCTTCAACTTTAGCATGTTCAGCTTTGATTCTTTCTTCTTCTAACTGAGCTTTCTGAATGTTTAATTTTTCTTCTTCTAACCTAATTAGCTCAGCCATTTTTCTTTCTTCTTGTAATCTCCGTTCTTCAGCTCTCTGTCTTTCTTCTTCTATACGATACTTTTCTTGTTCTAGTCTCTGAAGCTCAGCCCTAATTCTTTCTTCTTCAATAAGTTTGGCTTCTTCAACTTTAAGTCTTTCTTCTTCAAGTAACCTTAATTCTTCAGCTCTCTTAGCTTCGTCAGCAAGTCTAAGTTTTTCCAATTTATGCCTTTCCTCTTCTTCAAGTTTTCTTCTTTCCTCTTCAGCCTTCTTGGCATCTTCCAAGAATTTTACTTGTTGAGCTTTGAGCTGTTCAATTTCTAATTTAGCAGCCTGGATTTTTTCAGCTTCTTTAGCTAAAAGAGCTTCTTGTTCTCTTCTGCGTTCCTCGGCTAGTCTGGCTGCTTCAGCTAATCGTCTTTCTTCAGCCAAGCGTCTTTCTTCGGCTAATCTAGCTTCCTCAACTAGACGTGCTTGTTCGGCTCGTATTTGCTCTTCAGCCAAACGTTTTTTCTCCTCCGCTAAACGTGCTTCTTCAGCTAATCTTCGTTGTTCAGCAAGTCTCCTTTCTTCAGCTATTCTTTCTTCTTCCAGCCTTCTAGCTTCTTCAGCCTTTCTCGCTTCTTCTTGTTCTCGTAATAATCTTTGTTTTTCTTCTTCAGCAGCTGTCAAGTTTTGAGACAGTTGCTTTAGCTCGTTTGTTATGGAGGTGAATGATTCTAACATTTCCTTGTTGCCGGATATGACAAGGGCATGTTTGGTCTCGTCAGATCCATAAATTTCTCTGGCCAGGCTGGAAATTTCATGTATTCTTTGCGATTGTCTACCTTCTCCTGGTTGAAGGAAGGAGTGGATTTCTTGGAGGAGTTTGTCTGCTTCTTCTGGATGTTTTACTGATGTAGATTTGCGAGCAATCAGTACTAGAAGCTTGCTACCATCTCGAAACCAATCGTTAGCCTAAAACAAATAATAAAAGATGGCATAATGGTGTCAAATTGATTATTTTGTATACCTTTACTGAATTTTTTTGTAATATTATTTGCTGCACAGGGTGTCCCTTTTTCTTGGGTTTTATAGGAGCAGTTATAGTTTGTGAGCAGCTCTGCTATTTTTTTATGAAACCAAAGTTCTTTGTCAAAGATTTTATTTTAAATATATTTTATGAAAAATTTGACAGTGTGATTTTGTGTGCTTTTATAAATTATTATATATTAATACTGTCAAATTTTTATTACCAAATATCCTTTATAGAAAAGATATTTAAAAAAGAAATTTGATAGTGTAATAGCGGCCTTACTATGAGCTTTCCAGAAATATAACATATTCTATGATTATTTTCAGAAATAAGGTAACTTTTTAACATATCCAACTTAGTTTTATAGAGTATCATTTTAATTTAATTTAAAGCAAATAATTTTACTTTTCATCATGTTATTATCATGTCATCGTGTTATCTTGAGTTAAAAAATGCAACAATTTCAAATTCACCCTGTTTTTCAGGAACTAAAACAGCTAAGAAAAATTTGTATGTAGCATCTATAGTTTCAGAAAAAAGTAGCACGGTAATGTGAAAACCGCATCTTTGTACCACTACTCATAAACGTGATAAATATAAAACACACGAAAATGGGACATCTTGTACAGTGAGTTACGTAAGGAGGATAAAGAAAATTCAATATAAAGAATTTTAAGATTCAAAATGTATAAAAGAGTGTTTCTTCCATAAAATTCAACTTTATTCTTACCTCTTCAACTAATTCAAAGTATCTAACATTCTTCTTCAGAATATCTTCTGTATCATCAATTTGAGACTTCACATTCTTCCATTGATGTTCCACTTCATCTATTTGACTTTGTATCTCAGGAGCTTCACTTGGATATTCTTTCTGAAGGTTTTTACTACTATCTTTTAGCTTAATAATTCTTACATCTAATGCCTGAAAATAGAAACAACACAATTAGACATAATAACAATTAAAAATAATACACTGCTTGTACCTCAGTAACTCTTGTAAATTGTTTGAAGTTTTCAGAAGCTGCCTTAGACGAACTGAGTGATTCACTAGCTTGATTTCTAATTTCGACAACTTGTCGACTGATTTCCTCGATGGTATGTGTGATATCCTTTGTTTCTTTAGTAAACTGACTAGCTTTGAGGAAGGATTTTATAATTTCATGTCTTTCAATCCACTGTCTTTCGAAATCTGAACGTCTCAAGTCTATGACGTGTTGAAGTCTGCTGATGTCTTCTTCTGCTGACTCTAGTGGTTCCTGGAATAAAACGGAAATGAATTTGGTTCTTAGTGGAAATGAATTTTAGACTAGATACATTGGGTAAGGATAGCAATGTTACTTTAGCCTTGGTGCCAGGGCACGAGAGTCACAAGGGTAACGAAAAGGCAGATGAAATGGCCAAACATGCTCATCAATGTGGTGGCTAACGAATCTCTAGAACAGTAGAGACATTCACCAGGATAGTGACAGGCAAAAAAGTTTATAGCTTAATAGCCATCGAAAGCTGATGGTATTGACCATAGAGAAATATAGAAAAAAATATAGAGAAAACATATTTTTCGGTGCGATAGTCTGGCAAATGTGCTATTCTCTGTACTACTGGCAATGATAGGCCAATGACAAAGAGCTATATGAAGGACTCTAAGTTGTTAGACTCTTTAAAAAGGATAAGACTGGAGAATGTAAGGATCAGAAGAGAACCACAATAGATCCGAACAAGTCGTTGTGGATCAGGCAAGAATTACCTAGAAAATGATTTATTTCCTTTACCTGATTTTTAATCCTTTCTTTTATCTGGTCACATTCGGTCTGAGCAAATCTGAATCTTTCCAAAATAGTCTCCCTGGTCACCTCCGATTCTCTTAGAGCATGTTCTATTTTCTCTACGTCATTTGGCAAATCGATGTTTTCTATTTCTGTGTTATATTTTTCTGCTTTCTTGTCTATTTCTTCTAAGTTGCGGAAGTAGCCAATCAGTACCTGGAAAAATCATTATTAAAACTATCATTATAACATTCCTCAAAATAAAACAATTTTTTTAACAAAGATCTAACATTGAATTCCCGATATCGTATAGTCAAGTGCTACACTTATTCTGTGCTTTTATATGGAATGGAATCCTGGACTCTGAAAGTGACTACAATGAGGAAGATCGAAGCCAAAAAAATTGTTCAACAATAAAGTAAAATTAAAAATTGTATATGGTTGTGGATGGCTGTAAATGTTTACCTGTAATAATATTTGGTATTCTGACGAAATCTCTGTCAATTTCTGACTCAGCTCGTTCAATTTGCTCCTCACAGCCACCGTTCTCTCATCCGAGGCACCAGCCTGGGCAACCAGGGCCTCAGCACTTCTGATTTTTTCGTCGACTTCGCTCTGAGCTTTCTTGATGTCTGGCAGTACCGTTTCTAGTTTGTGCTCTAGATATGAGGCAATTTCACCTGGGTTTGCTGTTGACGTTGTGATAGCAGGGTAGAGTTGGGAGTGCAGTTTTGATACCCAACTGATTGTCTAAAAAAAATAAAACAAATTTAGTATTTCTAGAACTATTTCTGTATCTTTGTTATTCATCGTGATCTTGTAATAATGGTGTAACAGAGAGGGTGTAACATAAGGACCGATATATTTAGGAATGGTATATTTCAATCCTAGGAACAAGTCTATGAGGTTTTTTTCGCCAAAAATAAATGTTTAAAATTTTAGTGTTTCTTTAGAGTTTTTTTTAATAAAAAAAGAAAGAAAAATAATCTGCGTAACCCTAAACAAACTCGTAACATACATCAGTGTACACTAATATAAACTACTACACTAGTGCAGTGTATATTAATAAAAAAATATAAATTTCTATCTAGCTTCTATCCTTTTAGTCTCATCTTTACTTCGTCATTTAATACTAGGTGGCCCGGCTCATTCGACGTGGAAGCTCCAAGGAGAACGACAGTTTGTATTGAAATGAAATTTTGTAGCATATGTAGGTTAATCTAGAGCATTTTTTAAAAATATAGAGAGTTCTACAGGATGTTCCCAAAAAAGGTACACATCAAAGTTGTGTTTTTTGTAACGGAACACCCCATATATTAATTGATTTTCGGATTCTGGGAGAAAAATAAAGGTGAGTCACATTATAGAAGTATACGACTAAAATGTAAGGTTTTTGACATATTTAACATTTTCTAAAAATGAAGAACAATTTTTAAATTTCAATAAAAGCTACCTAAATTCTAATTTACTCGGTATAGCCCAATAAGTAGTTAAAATAACAATAGTATTTTAAATCAAATTAAAACAAGGCCCAAAAAGTTTTACAGGGTGAGACAAAATTAATATTGAACGTTGGTCATCTTTAAAAGCAAATTACTCTTTTATTTTAAATGAAACATCCCATATATTATTTCGATATTCAATGGGAATTCATGTCTCTTCAAAATACTATTAGATTGCCTACCCCTCCATCAAAGATTTTCCTAGATATTTTCATTTTTATGATTTACTGTAAGTAGATCTTTATATATAATAATAGCTCCCGTATATAGCGTTTAACGCCTTGGGACTAGTAAGGTACAGCTTGCTATACTAGAGCCGTTCGGTATACAAGGAAGGTAATGTGGCTAGCACTACGCTTCAACCGCCTATTATTACCTCAGGATTGTGAATCCCAAGTACTCATTTAAGGCTGAGTCGACCTAGGTACCCAAACTATTTTTATTTTAATAAAAATAGTCGGCTGATGAAATGCCGGGTGTGGGAATCGAACCCACACCTTGAGATTGGTAGACGAGAGCCTGTACCTCTACGCCACCGGGCACCTTTAAGATCTTTATTATTTGATAAAATCTAGGTGGCTGTGATACGTTTGACGTTTCTTCAATATAGCTGTGAACAGGGGCGGATACAGGAATTTATTTTAGGGGGGACCCAAATAAAAAATTAATACAGAATATGCTTTTTAGAGTGTCATTTTTAACCCAAAAAGCTAATATTTAACCCAATTTACACATTTTAGGGGGGGGGCCGGGCCCCATGGGACATTTTTGGTATATTTTTAGTTTTGCAATAATTGCCTTACCACCAAATGCCTTTTATAGATGAAATACTTTTGTATTTAAATGGTTGAAACTAACAAAAAACTAAAAGTTTTGAAAAATATCTCGTTTTTACACCACTTGGCCCTATTTTATAGGTACCTGAATTTTGTGAACGAGAGAAGACACAATTTTAACAGACAACATGCAAAAATTGACAGAACATAAAATCTGATACAATCTACTTTTAAATTAAAATGAGAGACAACTGCCACTGTCATGACTTTCGTTTGGACAGATTTGGGCACACTATAGCTACAAATCCACATTTATCGTTGACATCTGTAAAAAACTAACGACCTTATCCAAACCAAACCCACCCAATTTTAAAACGGATGCATTTTAACAGGCCTAACAAGCTGCGTGCGGTATATTTTTAGACGAAATTCGAAAATAGTAGTGAGAGAAATACGATTTGAATGATTTTTAGTGCATTTTCGTCCCGCAACCCCGAATGATCACATTTCTTTTTCTTAATTTAGGCCATCTCTAAGGAATCTTTTGGTAGAAGTTGTAGTTAAAAATTTTCATGTCAGTTTATATCTACAGGGTGTAAATAAAACTTAAATATTTACTGGGTGTTCCACTAGCAATAGTCCTCGGCTGTATCTCTAATCAAGTAATCTCGGTAATTAACACATTTATAATTCCCTTGATACATAAAATAACTATTTATAACCAAAATATTTAGAATTTGTATTATATCAAACCAAATTTAAATAAAACAATGGACAAGGATTTTAAAAAATCTAATTAATCAAAAATAGAGGTTACTATCTGTAAATAAGATAGTAATTGGCACCAAGCGATGCTTTAATGTCCACATGTTGAGTAGTTAATATTTTTCTAATGTACTACATAAAATTAGATCTTGTGTGCCAATTGTCATAAACAGCGAAAGCCCACAAAGAACGCCCAACGTATTTATAGAAACTTATAATAAACGTCTGGATAGAATATATACAGACGCGTAAAAATATCGATATATTATTTAGATAGAAGGAAGTAGCTGTTGCTTTCCTATTTTTAACCCAGATATTTTCTTTAAAACTTAATTTATTAGTAAAATATTATTTTTTCTCTGTTATTTTTTGTGTAATTATGATTTTTTCTTTATTTTTTGTTATTTATGATATTATATCCGGAGTGCCAGGCTGACATTTGTTGACAGGATTATAGACATAGATTAAAAGGATTTTTTATATACAGCAATATTTTGACTTTCTGATGTTTCCCAACAGATTATATTATATTTAAACAAGCCACTTTGAAGACTCCGACGTTGACATGCAATTTTTAGCCCACCGAGTATTTAGATGCAAAAGTGTAAACAATACATACTTATGGAGCCGATCGGCCGACTATTTGATTGTATGTGAGCGTACGGCTATCTAAGAACATATTGGTTATAAATCTGCAACTAAATAGTCAGCCAACCAAAAATTGCCTGTCAGCGCATAGCCTAAGGCATTGCAATCAAATATTCGGCCGATAGGCTACATAAGAATGTGTTTTCACTTTTTAGTTTTGCAACTAAACAGTCGGCCGACTAAACATAGCATATCAGCGCGTAGTCCAATTATCCTAAAAAAACTCGCAAAAGGAAGGCAAAAAAATGCATGCTTCGTTTAGAAATAGATAATATATAATAATTAATTTTTTTCAAATGTGCGATAATAATTGTAGTATCTGGCGTTGTTGAGTTGTGTATTTTGTTTTGTATATTTAGTTGAGTAGTGTATTTTTATAAGTATATTACTATTGTTATCTGTATAATGGTATAAATATTTATTGTTAAATGTTGCAACAAATTATTAATAATATTATTATTAATAATATTACCGTATGATCGAAAAAAAAACGGCGTCCAGTTGGCTTGGAAATGAACATCGATGACATTCCCCATATAATTTTACATTTAAAATGACAGCGATCTTCATTTCATAGCCATCGCTAACACCGTTTTTCCGATCATGTGGTAGTTCTGCCGGGTGCGTCTCGAAAGTGGCTCACCCTATAACTTCTTTATTTTTTCAGATAAAAAAACGAGATTTGGTAAGTTAGTATATTACGTAGATTAGGATTGATTGACGTATTCAATTGTTTTTGGTCACTTTCTGTTTTACCGGAATTTGGATTTTTGATTTGGACCTTTTGATTTTTAAATGGTCCCCTGGGTATATTTCTACTTTATTCGATAGAAAATGACACTCTGAATAGAATGACATATCATATGTCAACTTTTGACATTTTCGCTTCAAAAAAAATCGTATCTTAAATTTCAATCTAGAGTGCCATAGCTGTGTTAGAAACATTAATTTTTAATCAAGGAGATCTTCAAAAATAGATTTGATCGTCTAATGTTATTCGTGTCTTGTCCTAGTCCGTTAAAAGATGCCCAAATCGTATTTTTAATCATATCTCAATTTTTTCAAATGGAACAAGGGGCTCATTAGCATAATTGGAAAAATCATTTTTTACGAATAATTTCGTACCACACACTTGGTATTTCGAGTCAAATTGTCGTTATAAACCGCATGTTACAATTTCAAATAAACCATATGCAAAAATATCAAAAGTTGACATATGGTATGTCATTCTATGCAGAGTGTCATTTTCTATCAAATAAAGTAGAAATATACCGAGGGTGGCATTTAAAAATCAAAAGTTGTAGTCATTTCCGGTGAAACAGAAAGTGACCAAAAACAATTGAATACGTCAATCAATACTAATTTATCTCACATACTAACATACCGAATCTCGTTTTTCTTTATCTGAAAAAATAAAAAAGTTATAGGGACTGAGCCACTTTTGAGACGCACCCGGTATACACGTCATGTTTTAATACCCTGTATTATAAACACATAAACTCTAGACGCACGACTTGTTCCAGTCATGTTATCAAAACTAAGACACTATTCAGATTAAATTAAAAAAACTGCAGTAAAAAAAATGTTCTGTCCTCCCTACCTTGGTACTCTCCGCCATGGTCCTCTCCAGCCTCACCAGCACCTCCCTCCTCTCCACCACGTCCTCCCTGAAGGTGTTCCAGCACTTGGTGACGTCCAATTGCCGGCCGGCCAACCTGTCCAGCACCGATTCCACGTACTTGGCGCCGCGGCGCGCGTCCAGATGCGGCGACGGTTCCGAGACCTGGAACAACAACGAGACACGATGAAGAATAAGAAAAGCTCTCTGTGCTGAGAAAATGTGGAATGGATGGGTATATTTAGAATAGGGGTAGGAGAGTGTATAGGAAAAGGAAACGGGAGAGAGAGGATTTATAGGAAACAAGAGGTGTGTTTGGGTGAAAATAGAAACGAAAGAACCACTATAGGTTGTTTTGGGTTTGGAGATTTAGTTGAACTCTGTCAAGTTCGGGTATGAGTTATTTGATCTGTATTTTGATGTTATAGAAAAAAATATTTGTGAAAGGATGATGTAAGTTTTTTTTATGAGTTGTTTGAAATGTGTATTAACCGACAAGTATGAATAGTGTATACAGGGTGATTCGCGGCCATGGCACGTTAGACGTTTATGGAGAAGCGCTGACAGGATTTTTTTGAAAATTTGGATTTTTGCATAAAGGCACCTGCTCCATCTGTGTAAATTATTTTCAGCACTACAGTGTTGCCGCTTCACACTAAAAGTGGTAGCATCTTTGTTATTTTAAATAAAAAAAAACGCTGATGACTGCGCTCTAGTTGCAAACACGTTACAACAATTACAAGAAATGTTGAACACATATACCTGGGCATACGAGGCTTTAGGCCTTAAGCTAAACATCGACAAAACCAAAATCATGTGCACTCCCCCGGAAGACCATAACAATGCTGTAAAAATCGGAGAGGAACTATTGGAATATGTAGCGGAATTTAATTACCTCGGCAGTTTGATTTCGGAAAAGGCCAATATCGACTTTGAAATTCAGCACAGGATTAGCAGCGCCTCAAGAGCATTCTGGAAATTAAAAGACAGGGTTTTCTACAATCATGGCTTGAGTACAAAAACGAAACTGGCTATGTACCGAGCAATTATAATCCCCACCATGTTATATGGGAGCGAAATCTGGGTACCGTACCGCCGACACATGAAGGCATTAAACAAGTTGCAACAGAGACACCTTAGACAACTCTTAAGAATCCGGTGGTTCCATCATGTCTCAAACGTATCGGTCCTTGAAAAATCTAACTGCGAGAGTATTGAAGTCATGGTTACAAAATCCCGCTTAAGATGGGCTGGTCACGTATGCAGAATGCAAGAAAACCCCATACCAAAATCTCTGCTTTACGGTGAGCTTGTCGACGGTAAGAGGAGGCCGGGTGGACAACTCAAAAGGTACAAGGACATTTTCCACGAAAACTTACAGGGGATTAACATGCAGAATCATTGGGAAGAAGCAGTTCACAATAGAACTCAATGGAGAAGAATTGTAAACTCAGTTAACAGCGACAACCAAAAAGTAAAGAGGCAACAAAGCAATGAGATTTTTGAATGTCCGGAGTGCGGTAGGCAAATAACATCACGTATCGGGGTTTTCAGTCACAGAAAAGCTCATGAAAAAAAAACGCCTTGCGTGACCATCTTTTGATGCGTGTCGAATACTCGTCAGCGAGTAATAGCAGTAGTAGTAGTATTTTAAATGGAACACCCGGTATATTATCACATTTTTTGAAAATATATCCATGTCTCAAATTTTTTCTATTATACTAACCTATACCAATCTCAAATAGTTTTCGAGTTAAAAAATAAAACATGTGTAAAATTGATAAAAACATGATCTTGAATAAAGCATTGGTTAAATAAAAAATTCGACATATTGAAGGCTAAAATTTGGTTTATAGGTTAAGAAAAGTCGACATATTCGATCTATCTAAATCAACTGACTGGATATCAAACAGGGAGGTCAGAAAAAATAATTATTTCCGATTGTTATAAAATCGTTCAAATGATTGTTATTTTAAATTAAAAATCGAAACCCAAATAAAATTGCTTTTCAACGATATATCATGTTCCTATACCTAAATCTTCTGGTTTCTTCAGTAAAGCCATTTAAAAGATAATAATTCTATTATAACTGTTTCGTTTAAAGAAAATCGACACCATGACGAATATTCAAACTTCATAAGTATCAATTAGAGTTTACGTGCTAAATTTCTAAAATTGTCATGCTAACAAAATTCGTGAAATGAAAGTATAATAATAGAATTATTAAATTTTTTACTATTTCAGATACCGGAAGGTTTAGGTATAGGAACATGATATATCATTGAAAAGCAATTTTATTAGTCTTCTGATTTTTTAAATAATATGCATAGGGTTGAATTTAAAAGATCAAGATCAAGATTAGAGTCGATATAAAAGATTTGAGCAATTTTATAACAAACGGAAATGAATAGTATTTTTGCTAATAGTAGTATACTCCCAGTATAACAGATAAAATATATCGGCTTTCGTTAACTTATAACCGAAATTTCAACTTTAAAAAGGGCCTTTTTAGGCCATACATCTATACGAACTTTTTTACTTATTTTTATCTGCAAAATATGCTGCCGAAGTTTCGTGAATACAATTCGGACCACCCTGTATAGAAACGATAATTTTCTTTTTTTTCTCCCGATCAGAAAAATGTCGCCCACAATCCTTTGGTTCCAATAGAAAATATTTACTTGCTGCAATTGCACATCAAACTAGGTTTGATCAACCAGTTTCTGAAAGCAACGGACAAAACAGGTGGCGCATTTCAATTTTTCAATACTAATAATCCAAAACTTGTGTTATCCAAAACATGTGTAAGAACTTTTTGTGTAACCACAGAAGTGATGATTATGTCACTCAGTGCGAGGAATTGTTTAGCATACAAGGCCATGGGATGTAACATGGATCTTAAAGTTCATTTTCTTTCGCGCACTTGAATGGACTTGAATGGAGATGAATAGAGGAACTGGTCCATCTTACAATCAATACATCGCTAAGCTGGAGAAAATATTTTTCGGGAAATTGAATGCTAGCCTATTGGCGGACTACTAATGGTTTCTGGAACGAGAAACTTATATACCTCGGGGTATAAATGACAAGCAAGCATTAAATAAAGCTGGAGATCTTTTTATATATTATTGTTTACATCTAAAATATTTCTTTTCACCTCTCCAACCCATGTTCATAAAATTATTATAAAAAATTGATAAAAATATAATAAAAAAGAGAGCAGGAGCTACCCCAAAAATGGTGAGTGGTGGAAGAAAACTGGATATATATTTGGATTCAGATTCAAGGCGTCATTTTACATGAACCTCAGCAGAAATGGTACCAGGGATGGAGAAAAAAATATTTTTGCAGACCAGTGTTATTATATTAAATTTGGATATCTATGTAATGTAATTCTTTAATAATTATATACAGGGTGGTCCGAACTGTATTCCGGAAACTTCGGCAGCATAATCTGCAGTTGAAAATAAGTAAAAAGTTCATATAAATGTATGTCCTAAAATGGCTTAGTTTCAGAGATACAGGGTATAGGAGTTTCATTTTTATTTCGATTTTTTCCAAATAATTTCTGAAGTAATGTCAATATTTGGATGAAAATTGGTGTCATGGTGTCTAACAGTTTTTTGATATGAGAAATTTGATTTTGATGTCAATATGACTCTTATTCATAGGGAGCGCCACCTACATGTATTTTAACTGTTTTGAAGAGTAATAACTTTTCATCCGTACCTGTATAAAACTACTGAGTAAAAAAATGTACATTTCCGTAATTTTTTACGCAGAAAATGTCTCTCGGTAAAAATCGCTACGAGCAACCGTTCTCAAGATATTTACAATGGAAATAGTCAATACACGTCATTATTGACAAAAAATAAACATGTTAAGTAAATAATAGTTATTTGATTGAAATGATAAATTTGCGAACTTTTTATTTTTTTAAATTAATCATAATTTTTTCTTCGAAAAAATGATGATAGAACAGTTTCTGTTGAAGGTTTTCACAAAAACATTTCAAATTTATGATTTCAGTCTAATAACTATCTAGTCAACATGTTTAATTTATGTCAATGATGACAGGTATTGATAATTTCGATTCCAAATATCTCGAGAACCATTACTCGTAGCGATTTCTACCAAGAGACCTTTTTTACGTAAAAAATGCCGTAATGTATATTTTTTACTCAGTAGTTTTATACGGGTACGAACAAAAAGTTATTACTCTTCAAATCAGTTAAAAAATATGTAGGTGGCGCCCTCTACAAGTAGGAGTCATATTGACATCAAAAACAAATTTCTCATATCAAAAAACTGTTAGACACCAATTTTCATCCTCCATGTTACTTCAGAAATTATTTGGAAACAATCGAAATAAAAATTAAACTTCTACACCACGTATCTCCGAAACTATATAAGCATTTCAGGACATACAATTTATATGAACTCTTTTGCTTATTTTTATCTGTAGAATACGCAGCCAAAGTTTCCGGAATACAGTTCGGACCACCCTGTATATCATAATTAATCATCAATACCAACATTCTTATTCATCATAATATCGTATATTGGATATTATGGTAATTAAAGATTTTTATAAAGCGTATGGTAGAACTAAGAAAAACATTAATACATAAATGTATCGATTAATCCACAAATAAAAAACAGATAATTGACTTACCCTTTTAATTACCTGTTATTAATTACAGAAAACCAAAATGGCTTACACCATTGAAACGCCGCGTGATAAATAGTATCTTATTCAGAACAAGTCTGGCCGGTATCCCGAATGTAAACTATCAGAAACAGATAGGAGAAGATGCAGATATCTGGAAAATAAATTTAAAATGGCGCGGCGGTTTGCGTGGGACAGCATTTGTATAAATTTAGATGGAGCGCCTTTAATCAATTAGATTTTAGCTCGTATTTTCCAAAAAAAATCGGCTTCACTTCGTACGAACATTAATTTTCCATTAGGGTTTTTTGGAACAGCGATTTTTTTAAAGGTGTATTTCATATAAATAATACCGGGTGCGTCTCACAAGTAGCTCACCCCCTATAACTTTTTTATTTTTTCAGATAAAAAAAAACGAGATTTGGTACGTTAGTATACGACATAAATTAGGATTGATTAACGTATTCAATTGTTTTCGGTCACTTCCTGTTTCACC